AGTACACCGGCTTCGTGCCAGACCTGCAGCATCCTGGCATATCCTGGCTTTTCATGTGCTTATCCGACTTCGTTCTCTAATGGAAGCACATGAGGGTTCCTTGCAGTCGAACACACACAAGAAATGCGGGATTTGAAAGGCGCCGCCAGCTGATGAACTTCGTCCTGGTGACCACAGCCGGCATCCCAGTGCTGGTGGCGCTGGGCTGCTACCTTTGGTACTTCGTGCCGCCAGTGGCCGGCGGTGGCAGCGGTGCGACACTGGCCGGTGATCAGGAGGGCAACCCCATCACATTGGAGAGTTGGGTGAAGTCGCACAAGGAGAACGACCGCGAGTTGGTCCAGGGCCTCAAGGGCGAGCCGTACTACCTGATCTCCACCGCAGACAACATCAAGGACTTCGCCCTTCTGTCTGTGTGCACGCACCTTGGCTGCGTCGTGCCCTGGAGCAAGAGTAACAACAAGTTCTGCTGCCCCTGCCACGGCTCGCAGTACGATGAGAACGGCAAGGTGGTGCGAGGACCCGCCCCGCTCTCCTTGGCACTCGCGCACACCACCACCCAGGATGGCAAGTTGGCCCTCACCCCATGGCCCGAGAAGGACTTCCGCACCGACCTGGACCCCTGGTGGAAGGTGTAAGCACATCCATGCTGTGCGACAGCCGCTCCTGCAACTCTGGTAGTTTCCGATTTTTCCAGCTACTGAGCACAGAGCTCCATGGAAACACCTCCCTCAAGAGTTGCTACCAGTCACAGAAATGGAAAAGGGAGCAGATGGCCGTGTTGCAAGACTAGTGACTAGTGCTTCAGCTGCTTACAAACATCACGAAGCTCGATCTGCATGAAGGCTGCTACGCCGAAATGCCATGTAGTGTTCCTGTCCGAACCTTCGATGCCTTTCGCACGTGCAGCTTGCTTGGCTCTGCAAGTCTTGACATCCGAAAGCATGGCGAAGCGAAGCGCGCTGTCCTGTGCGACTCGGCCAGCAAAGCTTTCAGATGCTCCTCACGTTATTTTCGCATCAATCTCGGATAGCGGGACAAGCTCCAGGCGAACTTGAAGCCTCCTGCATTTGCCTTGTGAGGCACTGGCAGCAGTGGGAGCCCTGCTGCTATGCTGCTCCTCCATTGCACACATGTCCAAGTTGGGTTTAAAGGCTTACAATGGCTTAAGTTTTCTGACCCAGCAAACACGACTGACTACATGACCGGCTGCCGTGCGGCTGCAACTGTATCGACATATGCGCAGCGGTAGCGGTAGCGACACTCTTGGAACTTGATGGCTATGCCGTTGCCATCCATTGCCTCTTGTTTGCTTGGCGCTCCGCTCAGGCATGGCCACTGCCTTCGTGGCTCCTGGTGCGCCACCCCGCAGTGCCAGCGCGGTGCAACTTCGTGCAGCTTGCACGAACCACAAGTAGAACTACGGTGCGACATCCAAAAGTCATGGGTCTTTATGGGTCTTTCTTTGCAAAGATGACCCAGGGCCTTAGTGTGCACAGCCCATGACCGGTGTGTCTCGATCCCGAGGCCGGAGGTGAGTACACAGGCTTCGTGCCGGACCTGCAGCAGCTCGGATATGTCATTGGATGAGAGGATGCTGGAAACTCAGTTCAGTGCGACATCATTGTTCAGTTGTCAACAGGCGCCGCCAGCTGATGAACTTCGTCCTGGTGACCACAGCCGGCATCCCAGTGCTGGTGGCGCTGGGATGCTACCTTTGGTACTTCGTGCCGCCGGTGGCCGGCGGTGGCAGCGGTGCGACACTGGCCGGTGATCAGGAGGGCAACC